AACAATAGGAAGATCATGTTTAGGATTCAAAGAAGCTGGATCAACAAGGATTAGAAAAAGGCTCAATGATGTGAGGGTTCTGATTGTGGTGGTTGTCGGGGCTACCTTCTTGCCTCGGGAATAAATTTGCAAGTGTGACACATTGGTCTGCACAGAATAGGGGGGAGTATAAGGAGGACTGTCAACATAAGGAGTAATATCCAAGCCAGACACGGGACTAGAAAAGCAAAAGGGAGTATGATCTTCACTGAGACTCTCCCCCTAAAGAGAAGGACGAGATGGCTGAAAGAAAGGGGTAGACTAAATGAATGTAACATCCTTGGGTACATACTTCATGCTAGAATAAGAATCAATTGACCTATAAACCTTTTGAATAGGGAGTACTCAAGAAAAATACAATGGACAGACTTGTGATCATTTGTAAAATATATTATATAGTATTTGAAGAAAATGTTCTCTTCTGACTTGTGAACTTCTCCCTTTTCCAGTTCTGTGCATGTCCCAGTCTGCCTTAGCCCAAGTACACTAAGGAGACTTGCTGGAAATTATCCACACTTCATGTCGATGAGGTTTAGAAATGATAAGAAGAATGAGAATGGGAACAATGGGAATGCTAATATAGACATTGTTCCTATAGGTGATAAGGGGTCTAGTGTTGAGAAATTGGCTATAGAATAGCTGGAGGTTGTGAAAGAGAGTTTGAGAAATATGGCAGACTCAAGAATCACTTTGAGACTACAGTGGCAGCATCCAATTCTTAAGAAGAATGAGAATGGGAACAAATGGGAATGCTAATGTAGAAATTATTCCTGAAGGTGGTAAGGGGAGGGGTCTAGTAATGAGAAATAGGCTATAGAGTAGCTGACAGCAGTGAAATAGGCTATAGAGTAGCTCGCAGAAGTGAAAGAGAATTTGAGAAATATGGCAGACTCATGAATCACTTGGACACTGTAGTGGCAGCATCCAATCCTTCAAGCAACCCATCCTCAACAGCTTTTGCTCACTTAGGTATTCATGCCTCTGCAAATCATGCAATTATTTTTAGTTTTTGCAGAATCCCTTGGAATATTGATTTTGGTGCTTTTGGTCATATTACCAGTGTCTTCAACCTATTTAGTACTTACCATCTTCTCTTTGGCGGTGACAAAATATCCCTTGTTGATGGCTCCCTTGCTCCTATCCCGGGAAAAGGAGATATTAGGACCCCTATCCTTTTTCTCTTTTCCTAGGACAAAAACAGGGGCTCAACACATATTTTTTTTCTCTATTTTCTTTCTTTTTTTTTTCTTCCCATGAATTGTGATTTTCTTTGTTTTAATATGAAGCTTATACTCTTTTATGAAGATAATAGAGAATTATTATTGAAAGATAGTTGCTTGTTTCTATGGAACCTAGGGAATTACCCTCAAGTTTGTGGTTTTTATTTAAAAAATTCCGTCGTTCTGCTGAAGTGTATATGAACAAGAGCTTTGATGTACCACCTCTTTCTCTTTAAAAAATACTTTCAATTGTTTCTCAAAATATTCCTTTGTATTATCTGACCTTATTATTTTCATTTTTTCTCAAACCGTGTCTCCACCATTTTATAAAATTTTTTAACAGTGCAAGGAGTAGCCTTTTTTCTGAACCGAACCGGTAGTACCGGTTTTTGGAAAACCGGTTGACCGGTTCGGTTCATTGGTTTTTTAGTTTTTTTGACTTTATAATATTTATTATAAAAATATATATAAATATATAATAAAAAATTATAAATATATATAAAATATTATATTTTAAATAATAAATATATTATAAATATATATATATATATATTTATATATATAATGCATATTTATTAATTTATAATATATAAAATATATATAATATGCATAAATATATAGAAAATACATAGAAAAACTTGTATATCGGTTGGTTCGTTTAACCACCGGTTTTTTAAATTGGTTAACCTAAACCGAACTGGTACCTTCGGTTTTCTAAAAACACCGAACCGAAACCGAACCGAAACCGAACCAGTCAGTTTGGTTAACCAATTTAAAAAACCGGCGGTTAACCGAACCGACCAGTATACAAGTTAACCAATTTTTTGGTTTTTTTGCTCACCCCTAACTTCATCTCTACTCTTCATCAATTACATCCATCTGTACTATGAATAATCATCAATGGAATGAAATACTTGTAGCAACCCATGTAAGAAATAGAATACAGACACCACACATTAGTGTGAATCAAATAAAAAACTATATTTGCTTTATTACTTGGAAATAAAAATTTTAAAGAACTGAAGGGAATGCGGCCAACATAACAATGACATTGGTTTATTTGATTCAACTGATCACTAACATCAAGACTAAAGACCAAGACTGACATGCCAACACCCACTTTGATGACTGGTTAAGAAGATAGATAACATCAACTTCACATCCACTTGCAATCATCCTACTTGTGCTCACGTCCTGAAAAATACAATGAAGATTATTATGCAATTGAAGAACATGGAAATTAGAACTAAGGGAAAAATTATTACTTAGCTTAGTTTCACCCACACCCAATATTGGAGAATGAAATCCATCAACTCTAGTGATCTCTTACCTTTCCTAGAGTAGGGATTGTAGGAGGTAAAATAGGAAGATATATTGGTAATGTGATCACCAATTCCAGAGTAAACAATCTAAGTACTAGGGTAAGAATGTTGTCCTATAGAGTTGCTTAGTCTTAATAGATACTAAAGTAGAATGCTCTCCTATAGACGTTTGCATCATGGATGCTCTTCTACTCCTCTCCTTGCACTAGAGGGTATGCATCTGGAAGTGTTGTCAAAACATCTGCACTAAGAATGTGGTGCTTTGTAAAACCAAAAATATGGTTTTCAAGGCACCAAGGCATAGTTGTCAAGGTGACACCTAGGAGACAAGGCACTGGTGGAGGGTCACCTTGCTTAAGCACCAAAATCCTTTATACATCATGCTACCTTACTATCATGTTTAGTTGTTCAGTTTGTGTTAAAGTATTGGTTTTATATTATTTTCTTATTTGTTCCTATTTAATCAACATGTATGCTGTATCAAACCCTCATTCCTTCAAAGACTTCAAAACCTGAATTGATGAGCAAGGAGGAAATCGAAATTTTGTCCAATCAACATATTTTGTTTTTGTTCTTCTTTCATCCTTTCTTTTCTTCTTTTCCTTGGATAAAAATAGGGGCTCAGTCTTTTTATTTTCTGAAATAAAGAATATATATACCGACAAACGAGTAATTTAGTTTTTATAATATCTATTGTATTATTATAATCTCAAAAATAAGAATATGTAAAACAATTCACAGCACCATGTACAAAATAATTTGACATTTAAGAAAGGTGACCCTCCATAGGCGCCTTGCTGATAGGCATCACCTTGACAACTATGATTAAAGGCTTCTAGACGATTAATCTCAATAAACTTCCTGTGTTGCTCAGCATCCACAGAATCTCCCAACTCCAAGGCTTCTAGATGATTAATCTCCTCTGGTATACAAGTTTTAGACCCAGATAGTCCAACCCAACTCCTAATACATATTATTTGTAATTGCATATTTAGATTGATTTCTTTTCTCATTTAATCAACATGTATCTCCAAATCGGTGCTCCTTATGTAAGCTGAATGATGAGACTGCCTTTCATCTTTTAATTTTCTGTCCTTTTGCTAATTTCATTTTGGGAATGGTTTTCCTCTCTTTTTGGTTGCAAATGGATTCCTCCTAGTAATTTGGAAAGCCTCTTTAGCTCTCACTCCTTTAGGTGTTCTAAAAGGAGAGGCAGGATTATGGGAAGATGCACTAGAGCAGCAGTTGCTTGGACAATTTGGGAAGAAAGAAATTTGAGGACCTTTGATGACAAAGAAAGAAGCAAAAAATCTATAATTGAAATGATAACTCTAAGGGTGGCGCATTGGGTGAAAACACTAAATTTATTTGCTGATTTTAAGACCAAAGACTTTTTTCAGGTCTTGGGGAACAATAGCAAACACTGCATCTAGGAAATCTATTGTGAATGCTTCATGGTCTCCTCTGGATGCTGGATGGAAGAAACTAAATTTTGATGGCAGCTGCTTTGGAAATCCGGGGTCATCAGGCATTGGTGAGGTAATAAGAGGAGAGGATGGAAATATGGTAGCCATGTTCTTAGGTCCTATTCATCAAAGTGATGTAGTGAGCTCAGAAATGAAGGCAGCAGTTTTTGGTGTTGAAAAAGCCAAAGAAATGGGGATTGATAGGTTGATTGTTGAAGGGGGCTCAAAAACTGTGGTAAGCTGGCTGAAGAAAGGGGAGGGAATAATTTGGCAGTTAAGGAATGAATTCAGGCGCTTCAAACAGGCTTCTAAAGACATGGTGATTCAAATAAGATGGGCTAGACGATCTGCGAACAGCATGGCTGATTCTAGTTGGTAGGATGTTTCTGTCGGGTGGCCTTAGGGCTGTGTTGTAATTAAAGGGATAGTTTTTGGGTTTGTTTGGGGCTGTGATATATTTAGTGGACAATGTGGAATGCTTGTCCACCACTACTTCTTGTTGTACCAGATTTTCTAATGAATGAATTTTTTCTGTGTTGCTGATTAAGAAAAAAAGAATATCTGACCCCATGTATACTTCTAGTTGTTACTGTTCTTTTTGGTGCAGTGGTGCTCTTGGTTGATCTGTTGAAGGACCTTGTGGCTTGTATTTTTGTGCTAGGTACTCCTTTCTTGTTTCATTATGGTTGTTCCTTGTTTGTTGTGTTTTGTAAGATGCCTTTCCCATTATTTTAATAGGCTTATAAGTTGGATACCTTTTCTCTAATCAGCGTTTCTTTCATAGATTGTGCATTGTTGCAATTATTTTCATTTCATATTTGATTCTGTGCATGTCAACATGCTTATTCAGCTTCATTTGGATTATAATGATTAGATGGTATGGTCGTATGGCACTATTAAATCGTGGTTTTATGTGTCGTTGACGAGGTCTTTTACAATCTTGAAAATTTCAGCATTTGGCAGAGGCTATTATGCCATTGTCCAAGGAGAAAGAGAAGCTGTACCGTGAACATGTGGATCTGAAACTGAAACTTCAGCATGAGTTTGAGGAGAAAGCTGAAGTTAAGAGAAATTACCAACTCGAAGTCGAGTCACTGCTAAGAGTTACCACCAAGATTAAAGAGTATGTAATTTTTTGTTTTTGACCAGTAAAGAGAATTTTATTAAATGAACATTTAGTTTAGAACAAGTTGGAATATCCAACAACCTAAAAGTACAAAAGATTCACACTGTTCTTCTCACCCACAAAAGATTCCACCATCCCATTTGTTGTTCTTCTCATCCACTTAAAAGTTACAAGTTACATTTAATTCCTTTGAAAAACTTACAAATTCCCTAAAAGCATGTCTAGAGGTCCATGGTACATGACAGCTGTTTTTTTTCCAAGAGATAACCAGTTTTGAGTCCCCTTCCACTTTCAATTGTTGGATGCCAGATTGTTTTGCAAGCTGTAACCCTTGCAATAAAGCCATTAGTTCAGGTTTCAATGAGTCTCCAATTCCAATAGGTGCTGAATAGTGCCACCACCACCTTGCCTACTAAATCTCTGAATACATTACCTGTCTCTTTTTCAGAGGATTGTGCCACCCCTTCCCATGTTCTTATTATGTCATTAACCAAGAAGGTCTAAAAGGTTTCCATTGTCTTTACCCAGTGTGTGACTTTTATCTTTAGATGTCTATTATTTCCTCCTTGGGTCTGCTCTTCTCATTGAAAATTCTCCCATTTCTTTCTTCCCATATAGTCCATACAGCTGCTGCCCTTATTGTTTTCCACATGATTCTCCCTCTCTTTTATGGTTGCCTCAAGAAACTTGGATTGAAGAAACTCACCACATCTTGAGAAGGAACCTGCCCACAACCAAAAAGAGAACAAAAGTACTCCCAAACATCATGTACAAAAGAACAAGAGATTAGTAAATGGGAAATGGCTTCAGTACTAGCTTTGGATAAGAAGCACATGTGAAGAGAGAAGCATTTATTAGGCCTTATTCCATATCTCTTTCATCGGAAAATCCAACCTCACAGGATTAGACACATTAAGTTATTGAAGAAAGAGGCACAAGAGAAAAAGCCTTTAAGGGATTAAAAAATGTTGGGTATACCTCATATATTGATTTCCAAGGAAAAGTTGAAGTTGAGCGAAGGGCCACTTTTAAAATCCTTGTTGTTGTTCAACATCCCATCTATGCTTTCAATGACCCTCTACCATAGCCTATCCCTTTCAATTGGAGATCTCCATAACCATTTGCTTAGATGAGTTGTATTCCTAAGAGCTAAGTTACTAATTCCTAATTTACCCCTCTCCTTAGGCTTGCTAACATGTTCCTATTTCACCAAATGAACCTTACTTTCCTTTCACAGTTCTCACCAAAAGTCCCTGATAAGCTTCCCAAATTGCCTAGAAAGGGTTTAGAATCCATCATATGGATGGCCGAACCATGCTAGATGGCTAAGCAAATTTTCAAAAAATTTTCTAACCCTTGTGGGAACCGATTTCTCGGTGAATTTGAAAACTGAATTTTTTGGATCGATCTTGTACTGAACCAGACCAGATTTGAAACCAAATCAAAAGGGGAAATTATACCTGATATGGATACCACAAGCACAAAAGTCAAGGTGGAAGTTCATGCCCAAATCAGTCCTAAAACCATTATCCACTGAAGATGGCGTAGTGTGTAGGTGAAGCTGGTTCAACAACACTGTTTTCAACAAAACTGTGACCCAACTTGCTTGAATCGAATGAGGTAAGTGAGCCTGATTTTCTTAAACGTTTTTCTTGTAAAAACTAGAAGAAAATTGTCAAGACTGCTGGAACAGACCAACAGAAGGCTGTTAATCAGTTTTACAAGAGGAATAGAAGGCAGTTAATCAGTTTTACAAGAGGAGGCCACATCAGCACAACTAACCATTCACTTGTAACAACGGCCATCCACTTGTAACAACTGCCATC